CCACTTCGTTTAGTTCCTTCAACATCGTCTCCGCTTCAGTGATATTTTTCGAGAAGAGAACAATATCGTCAGCAAAACACAGGTTCGAGAGGAATCTCCTATCAACTCGTATATCTCTCTTGTTCCAATCCAGTGATTTCATCGCCCACTGCAACGCAATGGTAAACAGCTTTGGCGACACGGTGTCGCCTTGTCAAACCTTCGGCCAATGTACTCACGTAAGATGGGTTCACCCTTTGGTCCTCGAGCGCTGACAGTATGGCATTAGTCTCGACGCTGTCAAACGCTTTCTCGAAGGTTAGAACGAGAGGTAGGCGGTACTCTCGGCACTCCTAGTCCTCGAAACTGTCTCAATGTGATCCACGCAGCTGAATCCTTGGCGAAATCCTGCTTGTTCTACAGGTTGAGCCTCATCCAGTGTCCTTGATATGCGAGCGAGAATAATCTTCGCAAAGAGCTTGTAAAGCACCCTCAGCAGGCATGTTAGACGGTAGTTCCGAAGAGCCTCCCTATCGCCCTTCTTATGAAGAAGGATTGTTCGGAAGGTTTTCCACTGGTCGGGGATCCGGCGTTAGATGTTCTGCATATATGTCGTGTAGGCGATGTTCTCCAGCTCGTAAGAGATCGGCCAAAACATGGCCCGGTCCCGGAGCCGTGGCTGCCTTTATGGTCCGGAATGCCGTGCTTTCAGCAGGTATAGTCCGTACTTCTAGTGGGAATAATGGGGTTTGACGCGGTTGTTGTCGAGCGAAAGAATTTGATGTAGAATCTCTTCGTGATCGATTTTATCTTTTGTCGAAAAGATGTGCGAATCCCATCTGAAGACGATAGTCAAGAAGGTCCCTGCGGTACTTCTTTAGACTTCTCCCTCCTTGTGCTGCTTTTAAAAGTTTCGATTGCCTGTATTTTCGAAGATCTTCTTGCAACTGTTCTGCAACTGGTACTGTCTACCAGATGCGTTGGTCGGATCCAGCCTCTGTGCTCTTCTTCTAGCAGATCCTTTTTGGCTTTCAAAATTCGTTCTGAGTTCCTTGTACGAGGTAATGGAGCAGCTTCACCAAAGCTCAGTCCTCTAAGAAGCAGGTTGTGGTCGTTTTCTCGTCGATGAGAAAGTCACAAGTGGTCAGGAGCTCCTCCAATCTGACGCCGCCACATACAACTTCTCTCCTTCCTCCAACACGGTGGCTTTCGCTCAATCGCACTCAAAGGAGGCGGTGATCTGAGCCACTACCAAAGGATGGTACCACTGAAACGTCCAGTAAGCACCACTTTCGGTTGGTGAGAATGTGGTCGATTTCCGCATGAGTCGTATCGTAGGGTGATTCCCATGTCCACGCCGGTGTTCTTTCTTCATAAAGATGGACTTGCCATGAAAAAGTTTGCAGAAAAAAGCCCGATAAGACCGTTATTATCCATTCCGGAGTCCTAATTTTCGCATAGAAGTCACCCACAACAAATTTATAAAAGGACTTCTCTTTGCGGATTATCTCCTCCAAATCCTCATTGAATGCATCAAATTCCTAGTAATCAGCTGCTGTTGTTGGAGAATAGCAGTTGATGGTAGTAATGCTTTCTGATGTAGAGGACGGAGTCGAAGGATAGCCAGGCGAGGTGATAGGATCTCATGCGAATCGACAAGATGTATAATAGATGGATGTACGATGCATCCAGCGCCTTCAACATTTCGTGATGGAACCTTTCCACCATGATTGATGAGTATGCCATCTCTCAGCTGTCTCCCGTCTTTCTTAACTTTGTTTGCTGCAAGGTAATGCGCCCTACAGCTTTGAGAAGGGCGTGGCGTTGAAGACTGTCCTGGCGTTGCAGATGCAGAATGAGACAATCTCCATGGCGAGTCGTTGACGTGTCCTTTTGGTCCGAAACTCATGGCGTTCTGTGCAACCAGACGCTGGTCTTGATGACATCAGACGCCTTAGATGTGATCCAGTGTGCAGAGCTTCTTTTTCTCTCAAATGCTGTACGGGCAGAAAGGGACTTCTCCGCAAACATTGGCAAAGACTTGCCAGAGCCCTGCCAAACTTTCATCACAGGCAACCGCTGACCTTATATGGATCAAGGAGCCACCTAGCGACTGAATCAGCCAGACGGTGGTGCTTCTGGCATG